GCCTTCGCCCCCTTCCAGCTGCACAACGCGACCGGCACGCCCCTCTCCTTCACGCCCCTCTCCCTCGCGGCGGAGGGGCAGCCGGCGGAGGAGGAGCTGCCGCCCGGGGAGACGGCCTCGCTCGCGTCCGCCGGGCTGCTCGTCTCCTTCCCCGGCTTCCAGCCGCTCGAGCTGCAGCCGCCCTTCCGCGAGCGGTACCGGCTGTGGTTCGGGCACGCCTCCCGCGCGTCGCAGATCGTCAACGTGCTGGCGGAGAGCGGCAAGCGAGGCGTGACGACGCTCGTCACCCTGCACAGCACCATCGTGCTGCACAACACGTGCGCCGACGAGGTCAAGCTGCGCCTCTGCCGCAGAGACGCGCAGGCGATCGCCTCGTTGCCCCTCGCCATCGCCCCCGGCCAGCGCATGCCGGTGCCGCTCGAGTTCCAGTGCGGCTGGCTGCAGAGCAGCGCGGCGGCCGACGCGGCCGACCCGCGCGACAAGGCGGAGCCGCGCGACAGGCTGGAGCTGACGGCGGCGTCGCTGCAGGCCCTCCGAGGCGGGGGGCAAGGCAGGATGCACTGGGGCGGCGAGGGGAGGGCGTGCCACCTGCTCACCGTCGACCGGCTCGACACGCCGCGGCACGGCTGGCAGGTCTGCTTCCACGCGCCGATTGTCGTGCACAACGGGCTGCTCTGCGACCTCGAGTTCGAGCTCAGCGAGGTCGTGGCCAGCTCGGGCCGGGCGGGCGCGGCGGGGGAGAGCAGCAGCGCGGGGAAGGGGGGCGCGGTGCGGCGCGCCCGGCTCGGCCGCGGCAAGAGCCTCTCGATCTACGCCGCGTGCGCAAAGGGCTTCTACTTGCGGGCGCGCTGCCCGGGCTACCAGTGGTCGCTGCCGATCGGCGTCCAGATGCGCGCCGGCCAGCAGGAGGAGAGGGTGGACGAGCGGGCGCTGCGCTGCCCGGGCGAGGCGCAGCCGTCGGGGAGCGCGGGCGCAAAGGACTCGGCCCAGAGCGCCAGCTCGTCGCTCGCCTTGCGCGTGCTCCTCTCGTACGCGAGGGGCGGGATGGAGGCCGGGGCTTGCTCGCGGCTCCGGAGCACCGACGGAGTGTCGCTTCACCACTCGTACCCGGCCTCAGGCGGAGGTCTGCTCCTGGTTCTGGATCAAGAACGAGCTCGGCGTGGACGTGCGCTGCCTGCCGCTCGACTCGGACGCGGCCCCGACCGTGCTCCCCGCCCTCGACGCGGGGCCAGTCCCGGTGCACGGCGCGCTCCCCGGCCAGGCGCCGGAGATCATGGTCGATCACGCCAACACGCCGCCGCTGCTCGGCGTCGACCTGCGGAAGCAGCTGCTCGCGCGGCTCTCGCGCGGCCGCTTCGGCTCGGAGGCGCCGGGCGCCGGGGGAGGCGGCGAGTGCACGGCCTACATCTCGACGGCCGACCTGATCAACACGGATGACGACGAGCTCCACCTGCAGGACTGCATCCGCTCCGACAGGCTGGACGAGGCGGACGAGTCGGAGGCCGACCGCTTCCTGCACGTCGGCGCGCGCGCCTGCCACGTGCCGCACCGGATGGGCAGCTCGCTGCTGCTCACGCTCTCCCCGCGCTTCGTGCTGCTCAACCGGACGGGCGGCGGCGTCGAGTACCGGCAGAGCGGCTGCGGCGCCGACACGGGCTTCTTGGTCGCGCCCGCCGCGGAGGCGGATGCTTACGCGGTGCTGCACTGGCAGGACGCGCACCTCCCGAAGCTGCTCGAGCTGCGGCGCTCCGAGCGGGGCGCCGAGTGGTCGGGCTCGATCCCCGTGACGGACCTGATGCGCGGCGCGCTCTCGAACGGCACCGAGCTCACGCTGCGGCTGCGCAACCTGCAGGAGGGCTCGGTCGAGTTTGTGCGGCTGGTGGCGCAGCGGCTCGAGAATCGAGGCACCGTCGTGCTCTCGCTCGCGGAGCAGCGCGGGGTCGCGCCCCCCATCCTGGTGCAGAACCTGACGAAGCACGAGGCGCGCTTCCAGCAGGCGGGCGTGCCAATCGTGTGCGCTGTCTCTGCCGGCTCGAGCTTTCCGTACGCGTGGGACGAGCCGGGCGGGGCGGCGGCGCTCGCCGTCGACCTGCCCTCGGTCGGGGTCCGCTTCCAGTGCCGCGCCGTGCCGTCGAGGATGGAGCGGCCGAGGCTGGCGCGGCTGCTGCGCCGGCCGTACGTCGAGCTGCAGGCCGTCCCCGTGTTGCGCCTTCCCTGCGCCTTCCCTGCGCCTTCCCCCTGCACCTTCCCTGAGCCGTCCTGCAGGTGGTGGTCGACCCGGTGCTGGTGCGCGTCGTGCTGCGCGAGGTCGCGGGCGGCGACCCGGCCGGCGGCGAGGCGCCGCCCTCGAGCCGCAGGCTGCCGCTCATCATGTCTCCCGTCCGCGCCGCCTCTGTGATCGCGCCCTACTCGCACCTGATCGCGCCGTACTCGCGCCCGGCCGCCAACGGCCCGCACGAGCTGTCGGTGCAGCTGCAGATCCCGAAGCTCGGCGTCACCGTCTGGGACGACGCGCCGCGCGAGCTGCTCTGCCTCTCGCTGCGCGGGCTCCGCTTCGCCTCGCGCCGCGGCGCCACGCCCGACCAGCCTCGCACGCACGCCGTCGCCGTCGCCTCGATCCAGCTCGACTACCAGGGGCCGGTCCTCGACCCATCGCGGGCCGTCCTGCTGCGGGCGGGCGTCTCGACCCGCCGCGACGCCCTCTCGCTGCAGTCGGACCACTCGGAGCGGCGGCCGGTGACGGTGCTGCACCAGGTGGTCGCCATCTGCCCCGAGATCGACCTGCGCCTCGACGAGGAGATCATCACCTCGGTCGCCACCTCGGTGCTCGCGGCGGCGAGCTCCTCGGCGGCCGACCCCGCCCTCTCGGGCTCCGCGGTGCCGCCCGTGCTCGAGACCACCGTGGCGACCGACGTGCGAGGGCTCGCGCGGGAGCCGAGCAGCAGCGTGGCCCGCCTCTACCTGCAGGACCTGCGGCTGCACCAGGTGAAGTTGCGCCTCAGCCTGCGGCTCGCGCCGCGCTCGCGCGGCGTGGGCGCCTCTGGCGCGGGCGCCTCCTCCATGTCGCTCCTGCTCACGCACTACTTTCGGCTGCTCGGCAGCACGCTGCTGACCGCGGAGCAGATGCCCGTCAAGCTGCCCGCCGTCTCGATGAAGGGGGTGCTCCTCCCTTCGCTCGGCGGCATCGGGCTCGAGCTCGGCCAGCGGTATGGTCGCGCGCTGCTGCAGCAGGCGTACAAGCTCCTCCCCTCCTCGACGGCGCTCGGAGACCCGTACGGGCTGCTGCGCAAGCTCCAAAAGGGCTGGACCAAGCACGTGCACGAGATGCGCCGCTCGTCGTGGAGGAGGCTGCCCGCCGTCCTCGCGCGCGCCGCGGGGCACCTGCTGCAGGCGACCGTCTCGAACGCGCTCCGCGCGGGCGGCCAGAGCGTCCAAGCCATCACGACCAGCCTCGCCGCGAGCCTGCTCGAGAACAGCGAGGAGCAGCTCTTTCTGCTCGAGGCGACGCTGCGCGGCGTGGGCGGGCTCGCGCGGGAGACGGCCAAGGCGGCGACCTTCCTCCACGCCAACGCGAGCAGCGCGATCGTCGCGCGGGTCGGCCGCGCGGGCGCGTCGTCGATGCCGTTCGCGCTCGAGTGCGCGCTCCTGACGGGCGTGCTGCCGATCGCGTTCCTGCACGGGCTGCGGCACGCGCTGCTGATGGGGCTGGTCGGCTCGCTCAGCTCGATGCGGACCTCGCTCGACGCCTTCCGCGCGCTCGTCAAGGGCGTGGAGCTCGGCCGGCTGACGAGCAGCGGCGAGCCGGGCCGCGCGCGCGCCCCGCGCGTGATGCAGGAGCGGCAGCTGCTGGCGCCGCTCTGCGACGGGGCGGCCTTGGCTCGGGGGGAGCAGGTCCTCTCCTCGATGGAGGAGCAGCTCGGCCGCACGCAGACGCTGCTGCACGTCGTCGAGGCGGTCGACGCCGAGGCGGACCTGCTGCTCACCAGCACGCGCCTCGTGCTCGTGAGCGGCGCCGCGCCGCTGGCGCCGCTGTGGACGGCGGAGCTCACGCACGTGCTGATCACGCACTTGCGCGGGGACGTGTTCTGCGTCCTCGTGCAGGAGCACCGCGAGGACGGCTCGCTGGCGGCGGAGCCCGCGCGGCGCGAGGTGCGCTGCCCGAGCGTCGCCGCCGCCGCCGCGCTCCACGAGCTCGTCCGAGTGGCCCGCCTCAACGCCGGCGAGCGTCCCTTCCCGACGCCGGCGGCCGACGTTCGGCGGCCGCGGTCTTTGACGGCGACGCTGCAGCATGATTGATAGTTTTGCGGGGGGTTTGCTCTCATGCAAGGTACAGTATCAGCCACCTGTGACGTATTGATGATGTTTGATGTCGTTGTCGAATGGTGTCGTGTCGCTCAATTTTGAGGATGTGTCGCGTCCGAGTTGCGAGTACCGAGAGAGCAGAGACGAGAGGAGATGTTCAGAGATGAGTTGAGAATGTGAGATCGAGAGAGTCTCATCAGAGAGAGAGAGAGGAGTTTACGGTGTGTACGGTGTCTGCCAAATCCCAACATTCTTTGCTACAGTATTTGGCGCGAGAGGCAGGGAGAGCCTGAGGCCGAGCCCACACCCGGCCCCTCAGAGCTCAGTCTCCATGCCCCTCAAGAGCAAGATTGCTCGATCTCGCGCCTCGCGCGACGCGCCGGCCCGCCGCGCTGCGCGCACACGGCACACGAGTTGCCGGTGTGCGGCGGGGCGCACCCGCCTCCCACTCGACTCTCGCACCCTGACTGCCTCTACCCACAAGTCCACGGAACATGCGGTCTCCTCTACATTCGTGCGTGCGTGCGCGCGCGCGTGGCTCTCTGGCCCGCGTATCAGTATCATGTGTGCCAGCAGGCAAATGCCGGGCTGTGACCTGCGGCGCAATGGCGGCAGCAGCCCTCCCGAGACGGTCTCCGCGGGAGGTCACGTCGTCCGGCCACTGGCGCAAGCGAGCGGCGGCGGGACATAACGAGACTCTAGAGGGTCGTCTCGAAGAGGTTCGACTGCTGGCAGACGTCGAAGATGTGCACGGCGGGCGGCAGCTTCTTTGGCGTCTGCACGGGGCGGCGGCTGGAGTGGTGGCGGCGCGAGTGGTGGCGGCAGGAAAGAGAGAGGGGGGAGGAGAGGGCGCGAGCCCCCCCCCTCCGGCAGCATCTCGGCTACATCTCGCCTGCAAGTCGAGGCCCCCCATCTCGGGCTCAAAGAGAGTGACGCAGACGTTGCGCGCGTCGACGCACACGCCGGATGCGGGAGCACCTACCGGGGCGAGGACGTGTCGTGGTCACGCCGTCGGGAGGCGGGCCCGGCCCTCTCCGAGGGCAGAGGCGCGCCGAAGCGGACGATCTGCAGCGGCTCGCCGCCGATGCCGAGCACCTGCAGCCTCTCGCCCTGCGCCTCTGTGACATACAGCCGCCCGTTGCCGATCGCGATGCCCATCGGCGTCTGCAGGACGGGAGGCGACGCGTGAGGGGGAGGCAAGGGGGGAAGGGCTGGTGCCGCCCCTCTCTGGTGCGCGTGTGTGCGCGCGCCGCGAATGCGCCCGGCGCGTCGCTCTTCGCGAAGCTGTCCGGCCGGTAGCTGTCCGGCTTGCCGATCACGCGCTCGAGGCAGCCGTGCTCGTCGAAGACCTGAGGTGGGCGGGAGGGGGTGGGCGAGGCGGGCGGGGGGCGAGGCGGGCGGGGGGGGCGAGGAGGGCGGTCTAGGGAGGCGGGATGGGAGGCTGGGGCTGGGAGGTGGGTGGGCGAGGGTCTTGTGTTTTGGCTGCCGCACCCAGACGCAGTGCGCGCCAGCGTCGGCCACGTAGAGCCGCCCTGCGAGGGGGGCGGCAGGGTGATGGGAGGGGGGGGGAGCGGAGGAAGAGATGCGGGGAGGTGCAGAGGCGGAGGTGCAGAGGCGGAGGTGCAGAGGCAGAGGTGCAGAGGCGGAGGTGCAGAGGCGGAGGTGCAGGGGCGGAGGGTGTTGGGGCCTGCGTGGTGCGCGATCCCCTTCGGGTCGACGAGGCGGTACTGGCCCTCCGGCCCAAAGCCGCCGTCCCCAAAGGCGAAGCGGAAGGCCAGGTTCGAGAGCGCGAAGCAGCAGATGCGCGCGTTGCCTCCGTCGACCACGTAGATGGCCTTGCCGCTCGAGGCGAGGCCCCACGGGTGGCGGAGCTCGCCGTCGGCGCCGCCCCACTGCCCCGCCGCCGCGACGAGGCTGCCGCTCGAGGCGCGCGTCTTGACCACCCGGTGTGACCCTGCCCACAGGCGTGGAGAGGCGTGAGCCAGAGGGCAGGGACGGGGCGGCTGGGCGGTTGCGCGGGAGGGTGTGGCGCCGTGCTCGACGATGTAGAGGAAGCTCCCCTCGCTGATGACGCCCGTCGGGCACGCGGTCGCACCGAGGTCTCGCTCCTGGATCATGTAGGAGTCTGCAGCCCTCGACCACGTCTGCAGCCGGAAGTTGTCGCAGTCGGCGATGACGAGGTTGCCGTCTGGCAGGAAGGCTGCGGCGTGCGGGCGGTCGAAGCGGGCGTAGCGCTTGCCCGACTTGAGCTCGCCATAGGAGCTGCACTTCTTAAGGTGCCGCGCCTGGCTCGAGCCCTTCTGCCACGCCACGCACACCCTTGCCGTCTGCTCAAACGTCTCGCCGTGGTAGAGAGCACTAACGCGCGCCACGTGCACCGCGACCACCGGATGGATGGGGAGCGAGTGCTTCTGCTCGCGTCGCCGCGCGCCGCGCGTGCGAGTCGCCACCGTGTTGCTCATCGCGCTTGCAGAGGAAGCCTTCTTCGCAGGTGTCGCCATCGATCGTCGTCGTGCGGCAGGTGCACTTCGAACCAAGCGGGAGATACCGCCGCGCTTTCTTTTAAAATCCCTGTGTGGTGGCGCCAAGGGTCGCGACGGCTAGCGCACCACACCCCTCTTCTTAAAAGCCCTGTGTGGTGGCGGCGTGCCGTCCTCCCATCCCTCCCTCGCGCTGTCTGTTTTCTTTCTTTCTGTCGTCCTGTTTCTTTTTTCTGCTTTGGGAGTGGCGCGCACTGGAAACATAGGTAAAAGAAGCGTGCAGCCCCCGGCGCCGCAGCAACAGGGCGGCCGCGCGCGCGGCGCGCGTGCTTGTGCGGTCGGTCAGAGGCTGGCGTGCGTGGCTGCGGCGGCGATTTCTGGCGTCACTCCGCGCGCCTGTGTCGCCTCACTGTGTGTGTGTCGGCGTCAGAAAAAGAATTCTCGGGAGGCTAGACGGTGCGTTCTGCAGCTACGGCCTATGGATGGGGAAACCCTGTTTACGATACGGCCCCCACCCTGCGAACGCGCACCCGGCACCCCCACCCAAGGAAGGAAGGGCAAGGCGCAAGCCCCGCAAGGGTCAGCACAGGGTCAGGGCTCTCTTGCTCGTAGCCCGATGCCGATCCATCCGGCCCGCTGGGTGCGCTTCATTAGCTTCCCGGCCCCTGGGTGTGAGGTTAAAATGACTGCACCCCAAGTGCTCCCCAAAAGTGCTGGAGTGCGGGGAAGGGGGGTCCTAGCACCTAGGGGGAGGGTCGCGACTATGCCCCCCCTTGATCGTCGCTTCCCAAGATCCTTGCTTGCAAGACGGAGTCTGTCCTTCTCCCATCCGCATGGCATCCCTAGTTGCGCTGCGCACTTCCTTTCTTTCCTTGCGGCTAGATTTTATTTCTTTTTTGGTATGCCACAGTGATAGTGCCAGCAGCAGCAGCGGGCAGCGGCGCAGCGCGCACACGCGCCAGTCCACACCAGTGTCGAGCCTGTCTGCTGTGATTATGAGTTTTGCTGGTTAAATTCTTTCAAGTTGAGCGTTAAGTTTTTTGTCTCGGAGGGGGCCCCCGCGCGGTCGGTGTGCGGGGACCCGGGGACGGGGGACCCGCCGCGGCGGGGTGTGGCACTGGCAGGTTCCGTGCGTTTTGCAGGTTCGGTTGGGGTGTTTGGCGCTGCGCCAGACGGAGAGAGTTGTGCACACTCCGTGCCCCCGCGCGCGCATCTTTTACGTCCGACATGCGCGTTTCCATCTAGTAGATTATCCTCGATCTAGCTCTATACAGGTCGCGCCAGCCGAGCCGCGCGATGGAAGCCCACACGCGCCCTCACCTTGGGTCCTGCCCTCTCCTCGAGGCCCTCTCCTAACTAAATCAACGACGCGACGCGAGTACCGTGTACTAGCGCTCTCTCGCGCGCCACACTCGCACTCTTACGTGCTCAGTGCGGCATCATGATGCCCGTCGCTGTCCATGTCGCCGCCGCCTCCGCCGCCGCCGCCGCCTTCCTCCTGCGGCAGGCGCGCCTCCACCAGCCGCTCCAGCATGGCCCTCAGCTCTTCGAGCCGGGCGTCCTGCGCGTCCAGCCGCGCCGTTACGCGCGCAGCCAGCGGCAGCTGGTGCAGGGCCGCCCGCGCCTCCCCCGAGCTCTTGCGGGCGCCACCGCTGCCATCACCCAACCGGAAGGAGGAGGCGCGCTTGAACGACCGCGCCGGCGACGGCGCCTGCTGCGTGGGCAGTGGCAGCTGCGGCAGCTGCGGCATGGTGCGGCTCTTGATGCCCCGATACGGGCCATTGGCGCCGCCGCCCACTAGAGCTCCAGCGCTGGAGGGCGGCGGCTGGTACACCAGATTTGCCGCGCGCGACTCGAGCTCCTCCGCGCGGAACGCCTGCTTCAGCAGCGTGAGCTGCCGGCTGGAGTAGCTGCTCGGGATGAAGCTGGCGGGCTGGTCGGTCGCGGCTGCGCCGCCCTCTGGAAGCGGCACGGCGCCCGCCCCTGTTCTCGGCTCCTCTTCGGCGATGGTGCCGCTCAGCGTGAAAGCGCCCTTCTCGTACAGCATCTCCACGTCCAGGTTCGGGAAGATCAGGTGGCAGTACTCGAAGAAGGAGATCTCGCCCGTCTGGTCCTCGTCGAAGAGCTTGAAGAGGCGGCGCGCCTCGGACGACGAAAAGTAGAGCCCGAGCTCGCGGCAGAGCGCGCGAAACTCGAGGTAGTCGAGCTGGCCCGAGTTGTGTGTGTCCGCCTCTTGGAAGAGCCTCCGTATCCCGGCGAGGGACATGCGCTGGTCGATGCACTTCTTCTGCACCTGCCGCACAAACATCAGCTTTGAGCGCTCCTCCCACGCGACTGCAAAGTTGGCGCCGACGATGTTGAGCGGCATCGCGAGCAGGATGACGCCGTTGAGGATGGCAACCGCGCAGATGGCCTTGCCCATGTGACTCACTGGCGAGACGTCGCCGTAGCCCACCGTCGTGAAGGTGACGATCATGCACCAGATGGCCTCGCCGAGGTCGTTGAACTTGACTGCGTCCGGCAGCCCGCGGATGAGGACCAGCTCCATGTGCTCAAAATAAAAGATGAGCGCCCCATAGAAGAAGGCGCCGATGAAGAGGAAGGCGAGCGGCACCGCGAGCGCGCGCATCGACAGCGAGATCGCGCGGAAGAGAACTAGCGTGTCCGGGTTGAGTCGCAGGATCTTGAGGATCCGGACGACACGAAACGCGCGCAGCAGCTCGCTCATGATCTCGATCGCTTCGGGCGTCTGCATCTGCGCGTCAACGCACGGGTTCATCTTGCTGCCGCGTACGGCAACACTGATGATGAGCACCAGGTAGTCGGGTGCCACCGAGACAAAGTCGACCCACCACGCCGCCGAGGAGCAAAGCTCGCTCACCGACCGCATCGAGACGGTGCGCAGCACGAGCTCGAGCGTAAAGACCGAGGTGATGACCCAGCTGATGATCCAGATGGCGCACCGGTCGAGAGGAGCGACCTCGCTAATGGAGAAGGAGTCCGTCTCGACCATCATGAGCACCACCTGCGCCAGGATGGTCGTGGTGGACACGGCCACGAAGAGGAAGGCGGCCGGCGAGGACTGCCACAGGTCCATATCCAAAAACAGCTGCAGGTGGTCGTGCCAGTCCTCCGACTGCTGCACCTGCTTGACCCATGCGTAGTGGCGCGCCGCCGGCAGATAAAAGGCGAGGTCGATCTCGTCGTTCGCCGCGAGCGACTCCTGGTCGATGTCCATCTGCGAACCGCTGCTTCGACGGTTGAGGGGCGTTGACGGTGCAGGGGCCGTGGCGCTGCGCTTGATGCGCGTCGGGCCAAAGCCCGTCCACGGGCGGATGCGCTGCCCCTGGGACTTGCGGCCCTTCTGCGATTGGACTGCGCTGTCCGGCGTCTCAGGCGTTGCCGCCTCAGGCTTTGCCGGCAGCTCGTCGAGAGTGTCCGCATCGTCTGAGCTCGAGGGCCCGTCGCCGAGTGGGTATTCCGGCAACGCAGTGCTCCGTTTGCTGGCGGCAGAGGTGTCCTCAGACGTGAGCATGCTCTGTGTGGCGGGCTGGCGAACTGCTTGGTGTGCATTCAGCAATCGCCCTCGGCTCCCCTCCCCCCCGTCCACGCCAACACGAGCCACCTGCCGCGCGCGGGCTTGTGGGGCCGATGAGGGCAGACCGCGCTCATGCAAATTGTCCACAGGGACGGCCGTTGACGTCGTATCTAGATACTCTCTCTCGTCTGTGAGGGTGTGAGCACTTGCAGTGCGCAGTCATTTAAAGAAGAGCGCCGGCCGGATGGATCGGCATCGGCTACGAGCAAGAGAGCCCTGACCCTTTGCTGAACCTTGCGGGGCTTGCGCCTTGCCCTTCCTTGGGTGGGGTGCCGGGTGCGCGTTCGCAGGGTGGGGGCCGTATCGTAAACAGGGTTTCCCCATCCATAGGCCATATAGCTGCAGAAAAGAAAGAAAGAAAACAGACAACCCAAGGGAGGGATGGGAGAACGGCACGCCGCCACCACACAGGGATTTTAAGGAGAGGTGTGTGGTGCGCTAGCCGTCGCCCACCCTGGGGAGTCTGCCTCTTCGTATCTCTTTTCGCAGTCTCTCGCCGCTTCTCGCTGCAACCTTCATGCCACCTCGCGGCCGTCCCACTCTCGTCGCTCTCTCCCTTGTCACTTCCTCCTCTGTCGCGTCGTTCTCTTCTGCCTCGTCCTGCGGCGCCGCCGCCTGCCGGTCCCTTGTTCTCGCGGCTTCTTTCGCCTTTCGGCGCAACTCCGTCCTCCTCGCGGCGTATCCTGGCCCCTCGAGTCTATCGAGCTCCCCTCGCGCAAGGACCACATTTCTGACTCCCATATAGCTGCAGAACGCACCGTCTAGGCCCCCGAGAATTCTTTTTCTGACGCCGACACAAAACCGATCTCACGTACACAGTTACACTCCAGACGTTCTGTACTCTCCTATCCGGCAACCGGCGAGACGCTGCCGTGAGCCAGCCGCTCTTGCGGCAGCCGCCAGCGGAGGCCGAGCGCGTCGCGTGAGTTGATCGATGTGGCGAGTCGACCGCCAGTCCGCACGATGGCACTGCGACCGCGGCGGCTGCTGGCGAGGGCAGCAGCGGCGCGCGCGAGGCGGCAGCGTAATCGGGTCCGAAGTCCGGACCCGATTTGGGGTCTACACACCTTTTCCCCGAGTCGCATGCCACCTCGCGGTCGTCAGCCATGGAAATTCTCTTTGCCCACAGCGACTGCCGACACCCACACACATACACAGGCGCGCGGAGTGACGCCAGAAATCGCCGCCGCAGCCACGCACGCCAGCCTCTGACCGACCGCACAAGCACGCGCGCCGCGCGCGCGGCCGCCCTGTTGCTGCGGCGCCGGGGGCTGCAAAACGGCCGCGCCGACGCCCCTGCGCTTGCACAAAACGCAGGCGGCGCCCTGCTGTGGGTTTCCAGCAGCCATGATGACCTACAACATAGACGTGGGTTATCTGGAGGGCCTGCTGCGCGGCTACCGCGCCGGCATCCTCAATTCGACCGACTATGCCAATCTGACACAGTGCGAGACGATTGACGGCGCGCTCACCCCTGCGCACGCCCTGTGTGCAGCTTGCGTCCGTCGCCGCTGAGGCTGAGCACGCTCTCGTCTGCGCGTCGCAGACATGAAGATGCACCTCTCCAGCACCGACTATGGCAACTTCCTGCAGAACGAGCCCTCGCCCATCTCGACCACCACGCTCGCGCAAAAGACGACCGAGAAGCTCGTCGAGGAGTTCAACTTTCTGCGGATGCAGGCGGTGGAGCCGCTGGCCACCTTCCTCGACTACATCACGTACGGGTACATGATCGACAACATCATCCTCGTGCTGACGGGCACCTCGCACAACCGCTCCTCGGAGGAGCTCCTCGAGAAGTGCCACCCGCTCGGCCTGTTTGACTCGATGGCGACGCTCTGCGTGACGCAGAGCACGTCGGAGCTGTACCGGACGGTGCTGGTCGACACGCCGCTGGGCCCGTACTTCGGCGACTGCATCTCGCTCGAGGACCTGGACGAGGTCAACATCGAGATCATCCGCAACACGCTGTACAAGGCCTACCTGGAGGACTTCCACGCCTTTTGCATGAAGGTTGGCGGCGAGACGGCCGAGGTGATGGGCGACATCCTCAAGCTGGAGGCGGACCGGCGCGCGATCAACATCACGGTCAACTCGCTCGACACCGACCTCGACCTCAAGTCGCGCGAGAAGCTCTACCCGACCATCGGCCTGCTCTACCCCGAGGGCACCTCGCGCCTCATCAAGGCGACCGACCTCGACGCGGTGCGCTCGGCGATCGACGCCTTCCCCGACTACCGCGGGCTGCTCTCCGAGGGGTACGACGACGACAAGACCATCGAGGACCAGTTCTTCGAGCTCGAGGTCAACCTAAACCGCCTCGCCTTTGAGCAGCAGTTCCACTACGGCGCGCGCCCGGATATGCAGAGAGCACCGACACGCACCTGCCCGAGACGGCACGCATCCGCTCTCGCCCATCGTGCTGCAGGGCACTCCCCTTTAGAGCACGCGATGCTCTGACCACACCGCGCTCTGCCGCATTCCTTCCCTCACTGCACCGTGCTCGGACTCAGGCATGTACTACGCCTTTGTCAAGCTCAAGGAGCAAGAGATTCGCAACATCGTGTGGATCGGCGAGTGCATCTCCCAGGACCAGCGGGGGCGCATCAACCAGTACGTGCCCATCTTTTAGCGCAGGAGTAGAAACTCTCTCTCCGCTCTCTGTCGCCGCATACCTCGAGTGCACCTTCCGGTTCCGGCTGCGTGCCATGACCGGAGCTGACCTGTGCGTGTCGCGCAGCCGCCCTGTACGTCGTTTGTTGCAAGTATGGTGGCATTGCAGTATGGTATTTTTGATGTAAATAAGCACATCATACACGTAACTTCTGCACCGGCCGCGCGCACCGCACAGAGAGGCAAGATGACGCCGATCTGCCGAGGCGCGCGCGGGACGGGCACGGCGCACGCGCGCTCGTCACCCTCCTACTACCCTCCCCCCTCCCCTCCCCCGCCCTCGCGCCGCGAGCCTGCGCTGCTCGCGGAAGCCGCCACACATGCCAAGCACATGAGTGTGGCGCGGCTATACCGGGCACATGGAATACGGGCGGCTAGGCTACGCGGCGAAATATCTACACGCGCGAGGGCGCGGGATCGAGCGGAGCTGCCTTCTGCGCGGCTCCCACTCGGCTCCACTTCAGTCGAGACTTCAGTGGTTGTAGGCGGAGCCGCCGTGCTTTGAGACGTCCATGCCGGCCATCTCGACCTCCTCGGAGACGCGGAGGATGCCGGACATCTTGAGGGCGAAGAACATGGCCGTGGAGAGGGAGGCGACCCAGGCGATCTGGAGGGGAGGGGGGAAAGGGGGGGGGGGGCTTCTGGGAAAAACCCAGGGTGGAGGCGGCCCCCCCCCCCCCCTTAGAAGACCCCTTTTCTTTGGGGGCCCCACCCCGCGCCAGAAAAGGGCCTGACCCCCCCCAGGGGGGGCTAAATTAAAAAGTTCGCATTTTCCGGCCCCAAATCCCCGGGGGAAAACCTCCTTCCCCCCGTCCACCAAAAGATGGCCTCCGGAAGGCGCAACCCCCCCCCTTATTTGGGGGGGGGGGGGAAAAACCCCCGGCCCCACTTTGTCGGAGACCCCCAGAAAAAAACCC